TAAAAAATATATTTATCATATCCTTAATTTATATTTTAAATATTCAAGTTAGGCAAATCTAAAAAATAATAAAACTTGTTTACATTTTTTTTAAACAAACTAAAATTAGTATATATTTAATTGAAGGGGATTGGAGAAAGAGATTCGAGGAAATTCAAACGCGCAGCAATCTGCAAAGGTGATTCACACTAATACCAGCTCAAAGTCAATCGAAGCGTGGGAACCAAGAGGGCTTACTTTTTTTTCTTTTTTTTTTTTATGAACCATTTGATATTTAGAAATTTATTAAACCACCGAATAAATTCAAATTCGAATCGAACAAAATCCAACAAACGAAAAATTTTTTTTTTATAAATTTTAATAAAATAATATTTTTTAAATTTAAAATTAATATTTTCAATTAAATTAAAAAAAATCTTTTATTAACTTATCTACTCGCCCATGCGTCAAGAGGGCTTTTTTACATTGCTCAATAAATTGAGGGAACTTAAATTTAGCAAAAGTTTACGCACCTGACAATGCCAGAAACTTTTGTTTGACAAATATTTCGTACCGAACGGCTGCGTATTTTTTTGAGAAATAAACTTCCGGATTCCAAATGCAAAAGTCAATTTCCTTTGACTTTTCCTTTGACAGAAAATTCATTTCTATTGCCGAACTTTTTAAAGAGTAGTCAAAGTTCCAACATCAGAAAATACGGAGAAGAAATTATTTTCTGATGAATCGAACGAAACTCTTAATAATTAAAGATTGTGCCAGAATATAAAAATTAAGATGGATAATTTAATAAAAAATTATTTGAGGTAACTAAAGTAATTTTTTTAATTTGCTATATATTTAAACCTTAACAATTATTCTCTAATTCTAGATTGCTAAGTAAAAACATTATTAAATATTTAATTTATAGTGGTTTGAAAAAAAATAAAGTTATTAAATATTTATCATATAATAATTTCTGTAAAATTGCTAATACTATCTCAAATTACCATTCCAATCTTGCTTTAAATCTTAAATAAGGTAAAATATATAAACTGTCTCTTAAAATTATTGTATTGAAACAAATTACCA